AGTTCCTATGCTGCACCCTCAAACTCTAAACTATTACTCTAGATGCAGCACCAGTGAATACGGAGCAGCCAGAGTTGTAGTTTCTTCTTTAATTTTCAAAAAGCTGAGAAATGATTAAAACGTTCGAAATTCCAAAAAAATATTGAAGCACTAAGGCGGAAAAATACTAAAAGTTTTGCACACTTAAATTATTGGAATGGCTTCTATTACCCGTTTCTTCTTTAAATTCACTCTATTTTTATCTAAGCCATTTCTAACTTATCTAAGTTGAATAAATTTATAAGAATGCACTACGTATTTTTGAGAACTGCAAAATTAATGCAGAAGAAGGTGTATGAAAAATTTATTGCTTTGCAATTAAAATTAATTTATTTTAGTTTAGAAGCATATTATACGCATTCATCTTATTTTACTCAATATCATGTCACTACTTCACTACAAATTATGCAGAAAAGCACATATATGCTATCATTCTTTGTACTCCTTGAATCATTGCTCAGCTGTAACAAGTGCTCCCTTTTCAAACACAAACAACGCTTTTGGTGTGTGTGTACTGCGCAGTTTAACTTAACTACTAAACAAAAATAAGTAAACGCTTTTTCTTACACACACACACACACACACACACAAAAAAAAAAAAAAAAAAAAAAAAAAAAAAAAAGGTAAAATAACTTTAACAATTTAATGTTACCTAATATAGAATCGCTTGTATGTGTAGAGAAGAAAAAAATAATTTTACTGCTTAATATGCTCGAAATGCGTTTTGCATTTTATTTAATGGCAATAAATATATTTTTTTATTTCTATTGAAATAAGATGATTAAAAAATAAACAAACCAAAAATTTCCTTTTTTTATTACAGTAAATATGTAATAAAAAAGGGAAAGTTTTAATATATTATTACGGTATAAACTAAACAATATAGTGCTTGGCCTACCAAAATAAAACTAGTCAATCATCAATATTTTCAGATTCTTCGGATAAGCTGTGAATGAAAATAAAGAGAAGTTCTCGAAAAATATCAAGAAATGTATAGTTTCATAAGAAATGTAGATGGTTAAACTATAATAAAGCTGCTTTTTTCATATATCAATTATTTTAAGAAATATGTTTCAAACTTTCTACATGTATTGTACATTTGACTATATTTTACTTCAAATTTTTTAATTATCTAATGGATGATATACAATACAATGTATCAATTTTCAATATTGCTAATTTGTATTCATAAGTCTTTTATTCGTAGTCTTCTAATCCTCTTTAATATTGTTTACCTTAAAAAATATTTCAAAATAAATGTCTTTACTAGATGTTTTCGATAAAAATGTTCACATTTTAACCCTATCATTTGAAAATTTCTTTCCGGATCTTGCACAATCTTTCAAATTTTACAAAGACTTTCGCAATGAATTCAAGAGAATATTGAAATTTATAATTTTAAAAATTCTGATTTAAGCAGCGTTTCTAGGATATTGAAGTTATGAAGTTTACTTGTTAAATATTCTCCCCGAATATTCAAGTAAATTCTATTCATCCTGGGTTAATATATTTTCCCAAACATATTGCTAGGAAATGCCAAATTATATGTAATTAAAAATAATTTAGGTATTGCTCTCAAAATTCGCTTTTGTCTAAATAATGAAGAATCTGTACGTGTGTTCCCCTCATTGTGAGAAAATAACGGCCCAAGAGCAGTCAGATTTTAAATCACTGGCCCCCACCTGAAAATATGCATCTGGAAGATAAACTGAGATAGCACCTGAAAGATAAACTGAGATATATATTTCTCGTATAATATTCTTTACTTATTATTTCTCAAAATATAATTATCTTCTAAGCATAATTACCTTATTAAAATTAGGCCATTTACATAAAGCTTTATCAACTGCAAGCTTCTCCTTCAAAGCTCGATTTTGGATTCATTCTACAAATGAACTCCGATGAGATAAAAAAGTATGACAAAAAATATTTTCAGTATTTATAAAGTATATAAGATAATATTACGAGCACGATCATAGTAAGAAATGACTGCAAAGCTTAGTATTTTCTTGCTTTTTTCTACCTCCCGTAAACTCATACATAGGTAAGGGTGGTAATGTTTTCTGTCTAAATATTCAAAGTAGGTTTTCAGTGAATAAACACGAATTTTAGGGCCACCATAACATGCTTTTACTATTTTTACGATGATGCTGGTCGGTCTCTCTGTTTGTGTATATGACTATTTTTCGATAACGATAACTCTTATATCTAAATTCCAAAAGCTTCTATTTTCCGTATCGAAGCTTTCCGCTTTCAAATTAAGAATGATTGATTAGACTTTGGGTAAAGTTAGACAGCTAAAAGTGGCACTTCACTTGAAGCCCATAACAGTTTTTAATGAAAAACTATACTGAAATATAATCCAAAACTTGAGACTTTTATGCCAATGGGAATAACAGATTTTGGTTAAACTGATAAACAGTAATGCTCAAGTTCTGAACAGATTTTCATGAAGAAGTTTATTACATAATCCCAAACTTAAAAATTTGGTAATTAAAACTCGTATATGATTCACAACATATTAAATTTTGACTATATATGATAAACCGGAAGAATTTGGGAAAAAATATTAAATAATTATAAGAGTTTGGAAACAGGATAGTCAAAACGTACTGCCTAATTACTGGTTCCAGACTTCAACCGAGAGCAATCAATCACATTCCGAAAATAAAAGTTTCCCTTCAAGCACGGTTTCAAGTTTCGAAATTGCCGCGCTGTAGTGGTTTCAGATGCAAGAATCGTTCCTCTGTCAAAGCAGACGAGAGAACAAGTAAGATTTTAAGACCAAACTTTTAAAAATTAAAAGAAAATCTGAAAAGGTTCATACTGTAACGTCGCTCAGAGCGAATTAATTGTTTTTAAGTTTTATTATGGTATCCCTGTCTTCATAGTTCATTAATTCATTGTTGGACTCACTTCTATTGAGTACTCATTTTGTGTTACTCTATTCTCCCCTATAATGGACTACGATAACTATACGTGAGGGTACACATCCGTTCTCATGCTTTGATTTGAAAATATAAGTTCCAAATTAGTGTTCTCTGGCCATATAGTGTTTTGGAATCACAAATTTCTAAATGCATCATACTTTAAGAACTCCCGATAAAGTGTTTTTTAAGTGTTGCCATACTTTTTTCATATTCGCTATATCATTTACATTTGTTACATTATTTCTATAAAAATAATACATGTGATAACATTTGGTGGCAGCATTTTTTTATTCGGAGTTGTAAATGAAATGAATAGATGATTTAATGATGAAAAAACAAAAATGAAATGGACGCAAAATTGGGGATTTAGAGTAAATAGCCTCTCTGGGCTTATAACAGCAGCACAAATAAAAAAGAACTTTACTTAGATAGGTATCCTACAAAATATAATACATGTGTACAGTGGAGCTTCACATCACGAACATTTTTGTTCACGAACAAATTATCTGATCAGTGTTCCATGTAACAAACGTTCAAATCGGCAACTTTTGAAGTAACCTCCGCCACAGACTCATTAGCAAAGCTTGGAGCAAGTGATTTATAAAATCTTGAATTCGCCGTGCAGGAAATTATGGATAGATTGGGCACTTTGACACTTAGGAATATATATATATATATATATATATATATATTATATTGTGTATCTGGGTGAAACCATGGGCTTGAAGTTAACAATGAAGACGTGGAGAAATTATTAGAGGACCGTAAAAATAAACTTAACCAGAAAGAACTCTAACAACTTTAGAACATAAAGTTTGTTAAAAATGAGGGAAGATGCAAAATTTTCGTGAGAACGCACGTAACAGCAGCGTTCTCATAAAACAGTAGCAAACTACAACATAGGCACTTTGAATGACAGTGTCATGTTTCTCATTAGAAACACTTTAAAACAAATGACACGGGATAAATTTTCATATGACACGAATTCTGAGTGAAACGGAATTCCATCGAGTCTCAAGCAGAATCAAGTGGCGCTAAGAAATAAAGAAAAATTAAAAGAAGAATGACCCAGACAGATAATTACCTGGCGTTTTTGTGGAAACGGATTCCTCATTCAATACTTCTTCCTTTTATTTTCCTCATTTCCATCTTTCTCCATTTCTGTCGACCACTCTCTTTCATACAAATTCGTTAAAATTGAGTTTTCATTTATTTTAAGCTATTCCCCATAATATGTAGTCATCATTCTTGTTTTATTTTAATGATTCCTAAATATTTTGTGTTATGAACTTGAAAAATACAATTGTGAAGTTCAAATAAGCAATCATCTGAGGTCCAGTGCATTTTGCCTTAATCCCAATAGAAATAAACTGTTTCGATTTACGAACATTTCGGACGACGAACCACCTTCAAAAATGAATTAAGTGCGTGAACCAAGGTTTCACTGCATTGTAATACTGAAATATTCCTGTAATCAATTTCATTATTATAATCAGTGATAAAATTAATACTTCATTTGTACATGTATTCGTACATGTAGTTGATCCCTACAAGGTTTCTGTAGTTAAATAAAGAGTTCATTAATTTTTGCGCAGCAGTGGAAAACTGAGCGTAGCACTTTACTTGCATCTGTTAACAGTTTTTCTGTAAAAGACGGTTCTTAATACAGTTTTTCGATTATTTATATTATTGCATAGTGAAGAAACACACCATTCTTTGCAAAAAACGCTATCATTTATTTTTGGATTAAAAATATTAGAAATAGTTTATTACGTATTCTTGCAAATCGTGCATCGTGATCAAGATATCTCTAATAATAGTTGAAGTGTTGTTACTTGAACTGCATTTTGTCTCATATATCAAATAAGCAATGCATGTATATTAGAAACTAAACCTAATTATTGTAGTATGATAGTACTGCAGTTTAAATATACTCGTTATTATTTTAAACATGGAATTGGTGGGGGATAATGTACTTGCCACATCAGATTTTTTTAATCTCCATAACTGTTTTACATTGACCCGAAAATATTCTGTAAGCAATACGAGACACTTTATTAAATATTAATGTAAGATAAAAAAAGGCTTAGTTAATTTACATTAATTCTACATTTTCGACTTTTCAGTCAGTTAACCAGCATAAAATCAAATGCACAAGCAACATCCTGACGCTCTTTAAGTTCACATTTAGCAGTCCTTTTACAATAGCATCATTCAGTGCCAGGTAAAGTCACAAGACTTTGCCTTCTCTTCAGCTGATGTCTACTCTTCCATGCTTGAAAACAGGTCACCTTGAGAGGTCTTGAAACACATCACTGTCTCCAGATTCCGTTGTCTCGCTACGAGACACCAAAGATGATCGAGACCGTGAGCTAGTCGGAGAACCCACTGGTGAATAGGAGTCACAGCTGCTTCCCAGTGAGGAACGAGACAGAGATACCATTCGTCCCAGAGCTCGGATGGCATTTCCAGATTTCTAGGAGAGAAGAGCATATTATGTTGATGAATTCATATATTATTATGAAACGAAAATTACAAATTAGTTGATGAACTGATTAACTCTACATTTAGGATAACAAATTTAATAGCGACTATCATCTGAGGTACGACCTGTGTAAAGAAAAAAGGGAAGTGAAAATTTTAAAAGGAATATGCTTAGTTATAGTAATTGAAGAACAACGTTAATAAACCGACATAAAAATTTACAGATATATCAGGACATAAAAGTTTACAGATATATGCATGCCCTAAATAACTCTTTACAGACTGATTTTAGACAGAATTTTAAAAAAATGCTTAAAATATTGGATCACAGCTAACACCTTCAAAAGTTTACCATTAATATTTTTCTTAATTTAGAAAATATTAAAATTATACGATTAAAAAGAATTTTGAAATGGATCTTGGTGTCCACGTTTCAGTTTAACATTTGAAGTAATTTTAAATAAAGCAACTGTAATAGGCTTACTTATTTAAAAATTAGTACTCAGAAATTAATACTATTATAGAATATAAATTCTTGTATTTAAATTGAGCTGTTTAAAAATGGCAAAGACAAATAACTGCGCATAAATGTCCTGTGATACTATTTTTCCATAAATTAACGCCACGTGAACAGTTTTACACTTAATAAATAAGAGAGTCAACTACTGAAGACGTAACTGTGCGTTTATTTCATCAGACTCTGGTGAAAGAGCTTGCGCATATGGACTGCAAGCTTATAACAAATATTTCTCAGGTAACATTATTTTCTATTTTGCCAGGACATGAAATACGCGACCTGAAAATAATAGACATGTTGCAAATGCTTACTTCAATGTGTTTAATAAATCAGATTTTCAGCTAGTGACGATTCTAAACGTGAGAAAGTAACATTTTCAGTAAACATTTACAATGGTAGCGAACTGGAATGTATTTTTCACATCTGCTCAGGATGGGGTACAAAGTTGTGCTCTATGTTAAACAGTTTTTTTTTCTTATTTTATGCTTTATGTCATTTTTCGTTTAGTTTAATTTTGGTGAGTTGTTACTAAGGCCTTATGAATAACTTCGCTACCTAGATGGGCTTGACCTTTCTCCCATAAATGGATGCATGGAAGAAGGGATATGTAAGCACATGAAAAATAACTGTTGAGTGTGCGAAAATTCATTCTCCTTGAAAATGTTTAGTGGGTACAAGATCCTCCTTTTCCCAGAGACCTGGAGAGTCTCGGCCTCTATCCAGTCAGTCCCACAAAGCGAAATTATTTTAATCAGCACCAAGGATTTCTATCAGGTTCTTGGGTTTTATAGTTGCGTATACAAATTACGAGCATAAAATATGTTACATACGAGGTCATATAAGGCGGGCTTTATTTATTTAACGAGCAGACTTGTCACTAGATCTTTCCAAAGACCTTGCAAATGGCGTAGACGGAATTAAGGGAGATGAAGGTATGAGCAGTGGCTTCTATAGTCCACGTAAAAAAGCTATTTATTCGTATGCCCGACAGTTCCTCAATTGCATTTTTGCGTTTCAAGTTAAACTGGTTGCTGTTCGTGAGACGGTGGCATATATACAACCATCAGTATACTTAGGACTAATATTCATTCGTATTTCGGCATCTAGCATAGCAATATGCATCCTAAAAATTGTACAGGTATAGGTAAATATGGGTGAGACATCAGAATTTCACAATTGGTCGTGTAAGAATAATCCCACCTCACTAATAGTGCAACTTCGGCCCAGTTTTTGATTGAGAATACGGATCCAAGTGTCTCCTAACTCTCTTCCCCCAACCATCAAACGACTCGATAGAGCTTTCATCTCACAGTATTTTAAGTGCCCCTTGTACAGACACTATATATTCACGCCTTCTTCAGGATTGGAACCCAGGCCTAACTATACAACATCCAGCATCGCTAATCGCTATCCTGATTAGAGAGGCTCTAATAATAACATAGGTAAAAGCATCCAGCAGCTTTTACTGACATTATCTAATAATTTGAAATCTTGCCTGCACTCTGCCTGCTCGCCAAAAAACGACGGACACCACTTTCGATTTAAGAATCACCACTGATAGTCTGGTCACATGTGGATACCCTAACTCATTATAACTTACTATACACACACGAAATAGTCTTATCTGCGACAGGAGTAATTTAATTGTTTCGATTGCCAACACCCTAAATAATACATATGCACATAGGTATAAAATGAGTAAAGCTGGCTATTACGTTGCCTGAATATCAGTAAGTGACTTCCTGACTGTAAGTTTCTATTAATATGCTGTTTTTAATCCCCAACTTTATGCTGCATGCCATGTATGCTATTGTATACCATCATTTGCATATATGTGCTTGGCACTGTTATTTGCATACCTGTCTATTGCCGACTGCATTTCACATCTATCACATTGTTAGTGAAATGTTTATAAATGTTCTACTTTTTTTGTACATTAATTATTTTCTACTTCATACCGCATCGGTTAATACGTCTGCACAACTTTATAAACGTCTCCCTTTCATCGTAATTTCCCATTGCTTACGTCGCAGTTTCTTGCTGTTTGACTGACAGTCGCCCTAAAGGCAAGACGTTCTGGATCTTCTTAAAGATTTGAATAAACGTGAATTTAAAGTATAAAAATAGTGAATAAACGTGTAATTGATAAGTGAATAAACGTGTGTTGATATGTAATTTAAGTGTGTGAGTTGTTCAGTCCTTGGTATAAAAATAAATCAAAAATTTGAGAAACTTTTGTACGAACTCCGACGGGAAAAAAATATTTTTGAAAAAGATGCTCTCCACAGCCGAAGTAATCAGATAAAAACAAATTCACCTTCATACAATCAAAATTACGAGAAGTATCGTTATAGGGAATCCTCTCTAGTGATCACTTCCCATAGACTATGAAAGCGATTAGTATATAAGCGAAATAAATATCGGCATTGAGAATCACTGCTAGCTATATTCTCCAAGACAAGCAGCTTTACAGAAGACAAAAAAATCTTCTAGAATTGGTAGTTGCCGTTTTAATGAGTTTTCCCTGAAAGTGAATTTTCTCGAATAATGTTTTCTATTTTTTTTCTTTTTCCAATATTTTGAAGACAAGTATATTAAGCTTTCGAATACAAATTTCTAAACAATCTCTTATAAAAGAAAAACATTAATAAAGAACCGTGGTTTTTAAAGCCTTATTTGTAGACATGCTAAAACTGGAAAGTTTTTATTTAACGAAATTCATTCTTAATCAACACATAAAATCATAAATTTAGGCACTTGTTTTCTCAAGTAATTTAAATTAAATAGTTGAATAAATAACAATATTATTGAAACAAAAATAATAAAATAAAATTAGTATAAACGTATACATAAATAAACAAAAATAAACGGAAAATAGCGTAAGAATAAATGAAAAATCATACACATATTAAAGTAAAATACCAAATTCACACACATATACGTTTCTCACCACCACGTATAACGTTGATTTTAACCTCCAAATACCTACGTATTGAGTACAAAATATAAAAATAACAACAAAAATAAAATTACAATAAAAAATCTAAAAGCTTTCACATTTTGTATTACGCCTAAAGGGGTGTTTTTTTCATTAATAAAGAACCGTGGTTAACCTCTCGAAACGTGTACGTGTATATAAAATACACGTACACGGTTCGAGAGCATTTGGGCTAATGTTCCTTTAGGCTAAACGTATTTAAAAACAGCCTATCTTTAGAATTTCCGATAGACAGTCTCTCGCGCGAATTTTTTCCGTACAGTGTTGTTACTGCTCGCTTTGAAATTGTTGAGTTTGTTAATGAAAAATTCGAAACACAGAATAAATTATTTAAAAACAGCATATAAGGATCTTAAGTTTTACTAACGTTTATTTTATTTTAAAACTTTACTCTCTTCTCTTATTTTCCACTTCCGGTCAGAATAAACGCGTTAATCTGTTTATGCAAATCGTGTTTGCAACTCTTAAGTATAACTCTAAGTTGCGGCTTTTCGCCAAGAAGAGAGTTAGAAAGAGGGAAAGTGAGCCTTCTTGCCACGTTATTTTACGCGCGCCTTCAGTCAGTTGCTGTCCGCCTGTAAGGCCAGAGGTTTAGTGCTCTTGATATCTAAGACGTAATGTAGTTTCCGTAGTAGACATAGTAGTACAGTAGTATTTTGCGTTCTACATACGTACTCATCTGAAAGGCCAATCTGAGGGTTATTCATATGTGTAAAGTTTTCGAAATTATCTCTTATTTAAATTTAGTTAGTTAGTAATTCTTATTTTCTTACGTTCAGACCAGATAAGTGGTTGGTCTTTGTTTCCCGAAGTGTCGAAACACCTGTAATATCGTGGAGAATAAAGTGTAAAGTTAACCCTTCTTACTTGTGTTGTCTATTCCACACATACACGAACATAGCTTGAGTAAGCTCCCTGTTCCCATTCAGGACATTAGATGTTTCCCAAGGCAATTCGAAGGAATACTAGTCCTGATAAGCATATCTTGAGAATTTTCGATAGACAATCTCGCGCTCTGGAGATAAAAAAGTTTTTTCCTGTACAGTCTTATCATTGCTCGCTTTGAAATCATCGAGTTTGTTAATCAAAAATTCGTTAAAATTTTACAAAATATGAAATACACGATGAAAAGGATTAGAAATCCAAAATTCGGGCCTCCAGGTGGTGGACTGTGGTGGAGGACTACCTTATTCAGAATTTGACGGCTCTAGGTACCGTTATTTTTTCATAGTTCGAAAAATATGCATACGTTCATGCAAATTCTTCATTATTTAATTTCTTTGCATATAATAAAGGGTGATAATATTTGATGGTAACAATTTGAAAAGTTATTCAGACTTTTATAGTGATTCCACGCAAAATCCCGTTTTGAGACTAACAGCCCATCTGGGTTAACGCTCTTTAGAGCTAATAAGCACTAACTAGTAAATATTAAGGAGCACCTTTTTTAATAATTGGGTGTTTCTTAATACTCCCTTTTAATGTTTTTCTGGAAATAAAGCATACTGAATAAATAAATAAAATGCATAATATACAATATGCCCCACAATAACAGAACTATTCTAAAACTGACTTTAATATCAAATAAGAAATTTTAAACAAGTACAAAATCAAAAATTCTAAAAAAGGTTTGGTAACTATTACACTAAAATAAGGAAATGTGACTTATCAAAATTTGACTACTTTGTTCCCTTTCCTGAGCAAACATTCAGTTTGATTCAGTATGAATCATGAAAATTATTAACAACGCAAGAATAATGAAATGAACAATGAAATTTTGACGCATTTTATTGGAACAACTATTCAATTCAGAGAATTTCAAAGTTCATTAATCGTTCCTATCACAATGAAAACTCTTTTTTGACCACATCTTTACGAATGACCACCTTTGAAATAATTAGTATCTGTATGAAAATAATTAAATAAAAGGCTGAACATAATTAATAACCATATTATTTAAATAAAAAGCAAAATAGTCTAGAATCATGGATTTTTCTGCAATTATATGGATTTTTCTGCATTTATCAGATTGAGAGGATTATTGGCAATCAACGAGTACGTTGGTTGCCAACGGGTGATATTTTTCCCTTTAAAAAAGACAGCAATTTCTAAACGAATGACACAGTTACAAGTACAGGAAAAATTCCATTTCTCCAGACGTAAATGGTCCTTAATCTACAGTGCATCGTATTTTGAAAGACAATAAAAATATTCATCATCAATGAGAGATATGCTTTCCTTGGCGAAAAAAATTCACAAGGAAAAGGATTTGATTTAGAAAATAATGGTGTAAAATGGTTTGGAATGGCAAGAAGAAATTGATTTCAGCAATCCTGATAACTTGAATCATGTGACAGGATGATGCACTAGGTTAAACTCAATTAATGGTCAAAATGTTTTTATTTCTAAAAAAAAAAAAGCCTTTTCTATTACAACGGGAATATCAAAAGCAATTTAGAGTGGATATTGCTGTAAAATAATTGGAAACAAAAATTATATAGTAGGTAATTACAAACTAAGGGTCTTTGTGCTCTAATACACAACAGTTTTATTTGTGAAATATTTTTCCAACTTGTACATTCGTTTTAACAATCAGTATTTTTTTAAATATATGTACGTAAGATAAAAAAAATACGATAAAATACTAACTTTAATTTGCAATACTTCCTTAAGTCTTCCTTTCAAATATGCTGTTTCTTTGTTGAGTTATTCTCCAAAAAGTAAAGTATCAATGCAACTATTCAAGGAAAGCCGCTCTTTTTGTGCTTAATTATCTGTGGCTGCATTAAAAATATAATGTCAACAATAAAAGTAAGAACAATATTCTTACTTTTATTGTTGACAGTTTACTTTAAATAAGCTACATCGAACTGCAGTTTTTCTGGACAGCACTCTTTTATTAAGAGTAAAGAAAAATCGCTTGTTCTTTTTGGTTAAGTGGAATTATATTTTATCTCGCTATTCTGAAGAGTAATATAATTATTAAATAATAGTCATTTAAAGCATTCGTTAAATTTAATACTTCAATCAATAACCTTAAACTATTTCAAAAGCTTTCTCAGATTTTTTTCTTTTTTAATAAATAAATATAATGCGCAACCCCAGCTCTTAACCTACGCAGAGACTAGAATCCTGTATCTAATCCTATCACACAACAAACTTTTACTGTGTGGCCTACTCTTAAAAGGTGCTCTCATTATCTAAAAATTCTTGAAAGAAACTGAGTATCTTTGTCTGGTGCTTTTGAAGAGCACTTACAGGGAAACAATAAATCCACTTACTTGCCACTTCCTTCGAATTATGAATCTCTTCAACTTTTCAGTGGACAAAGGTCGCTTCTGCACGAAATTGGCTGTCGCTAGCCAAGTATGGTTCAAGCACTCCTCGGCGCTCATGCGTCCCCTAGATAAAACCAAAATTGGCTAGTTTATATTTAATGGTTGATAGATATTCATCTTAAAATAGTAGATATTTATAGTTTTAAATATATTCTGAAGTACTAGCAGTGAAGCATCTGGTTTATTTCTGGCAAGTTTTTAGGTATATATTTGAAGACAATTCTTTTAATTATTGTAACACTTACTTGACTTTTTTTACCAGTAAGCGAGATATGAAGTCCTTGGCGTTTTCAGATATTTCTTCGAAAGCTTCATCATCGAAATCCATTTCGCCACGTGTTATGTTTGCGAATGTTTCTGTATCCGTGTCCCCCATGAAAGGTGAGAGTCCAGACAACCTATGCGTTAAAAATAGATACCGTTAATATAATCTTACCCAAGAAACATGACAGCTACGATTCAGTACTTGCTGTCTCAGTTCTGATGCATAGAGTAAAACACAGATCATCTTAGGTAAGTAAACGTTTTCATCGAAACAAAATATCAGAGGAGAGAGAATTAAGATTTATTAGTCATTCCCAGTGTCATTCCCGTCTCCTGCAAGCTATATTAGTTAAATACTTTTCTAGTCCAAACTTAACATATTAGATTGTGTTCCTTTGCAGTAACCAAGTTCTGGAGTTTGATGACATATGCATTCTTTTGCACGTTTTGGAGCACTTTTTCCGTTTGAAAGAATCTTTTAAAACATTTTTGAGTTTTTTAGAACACTGGTTTGGACATTTCAGAGCATTCTGAAGCATATTCTAGTAAACCTGAAGAAACATTACCTTAAAAAAATACTGTCTCAAATCCTCTGAACTCATTTTTTAGGTAGGCATGTCCTATCCACAGCAATTTTATTTTAGAATGTGTTCGTCAAATCTATCGACAAGTTCTTCCCACAACGTGCGATTGTCACTTCAGAGAATTTTTCCATACCATTCCATTAATACAATTCTTTAGTGTGCCGCCATTTTTAAAAATAATTGTTGTCTTTTACGTCTTAGCTTGGCAAAAATTTAGTCGCCAACGGTAGGCGGCTTTTCAAGACGGGAGTGCAGATAGTCAAAAGTAGGGAAAAATCTGTTGAAATGTATTCTCTTGAAAGAAGATTAAATATTACCAAAATTTTTAAAAGTTATCTCCGATTAAGGTGTAATTTTCCATTCATTATTCGATGCTATAATTTCCTTTTATCTTCCTAAGAATGAAAGCTTCTCCTCCCCATTAAACATATCATACGACTCATAGTAATTCTAAAGTATTCCAAGATGTCACATGAATTAAAATTTAAGGTAACACAGAAAATGTTTTGACGCACATCACTTTTGCGGTGTTCACATAATTGAAAAGAAGGAACATAATGATATGACGAGAGAAAACGATGTGAGATTCAATCAACTTTATATACTATATAGAAAAGCGTACAGAAAATAGATTTTATAATTCTTATTTCATAAAGTAACAAATTAAGAAGTAGAATTCACATTCATAAACGCATCATCATTATACACCAGAGTGACTTTAGGAAGGCATTATATTAGAATTTTGATTAATAATTTATTCATATCATCATATGGCATGTGGTTGATTTCAAAAGTATCTCTTTCCTTTAATTACTGAGTTATCAATATAAAATTCTTTTACTTGAGAATATTGATTTTAACACAAACTAAATTCGAATTTTCTTTACAAAATATTTAGTATTCATGTACATGGAAAATCAGAGATTATAACTGAAAAATCTATAATTTTTATATGCATGAAGAAAAATATTCCAGGGTACAATAGAAAAAAGAACTTACAAGACATAACATATGACCCCAACACTCCACATGTCACTTGCGGGACAGACGGGTTCATAGTTAATCACCTCGGGAGCTACAAACTCCGGTGTACCGAATAAAATGCGCAAATTTTCTTCTGGTTTATAGATTCTAGCCAATCCAAAATCAATTATTTTGATCTAAAACAAACAACAATTAAACGTTTAAAACGTGAATAACAAATAAACGTTTGAAATACAAACAAATAAACGTTTGAAACGTGAAAATGAGAATGTCATTTAAAAAAAATTATAATATAAAGAACAAAAATATCTCATTATAAGAATATCATGTATACCTTACAGAATTTAGTGACAATATACGGTTTTATTATTTTGCTTCGGTTAAACGTTTTCTGCCCTAGGTTTCCTACATTTATTTTATTCCTAGAAATATATAAAGAAGAGCCCTAGAAATATGCCCTAGAAATATATAAAGGAATATTTTAAATACAGGGGCGCTTAAGAAGAAAGCGGAAATACAAGTGAATTGACGAAAATAATGCTCAGTTAGGTTAGATTATTTGAATATGGCAAAGCACACGAGGGCCATCTAAGGGTAAAGATGCCTTCGTGCAGGACTTTCAAAGGAAAACCATGCAGTCAACGCGTTCCCCTTGTATCGAACCCAGTCAAACTCTCAGCATTCAACAATCTTAACTACTCGGTCACCAGTGTAGCGACTAAAATGCGGATAGCCTAAACTCGATTATTATTTTCGAGAGTACCTTTCAAATGAGTTAAGTTTTCTGACGAGACTTGTCAGTTACAGCTGCTATTTAACCGCTAAAAATAATTTAATTTAAAAGAAATAGAAAAACGGTAGTAGCCTGAAATTAATTTACTTCACTTAAAGACTAAACTGAGAGCATGTACAGGAGTTTTCAGGCTGAGATTAGGAGAGTATGGCAGAAGCACTCGAGCGCTTCTGTCTAAATGTGAGTGGCAACAGGATAGTTTAAAGAAAACAGCTTCGTATTCAAATGCTACATGGACAAAAAAAAAAAAAAAAAAAAAATGAAAGTTTCTTGCAACTAGCCCTTTCACCGGACTTTGACTTCAGGTCGAACTATCAGTCAGCGATTTTATCATCGTGAGTTCCCTTCCAACTTTTAATTAAATTCTGAGCAAATCTAGCCTTTGTGGATGACTGTGACTTTAAACACTGTACCTGTGTTGGCCTTTAAGTTTATTAGTTAACATTAGTTAGTTACGTTTCCTTGATTTAAAAATATGTGATTATTAGCACTTCCTGGGAAAAAGAATTCGAAACGTTATTATAAAATCGCTTCCGACATACACATTGTTGCCAAATGAAAATGATCAAACATTAAATTTAGAAACAGCACAGAATTTTACTCTGCAGAACAACTTTATCAAAAAAAATTTGAATAAAATCGTATTAAATATAAAAAATTACAATGAAATTAGCAATATCCTTTAATACAAATATTAATTATACTAATAAATTAACCAACTTCCCGTTGTCTTCTCTCGACAAACGTCCAATATCCAAGTGAAACATTAAATTTAAAAAGTGCACAGAATTATCGCCCTCATTTTCCCGAGTGGCAACAGTGATATCAGCAACAATAGCTGTGTGCCATTGTTGCTGATAATAAAAAGAGAGAATTATCGATTTGATGAGATTTCCTCAAAAAAAATTTTTTTAATCTCATTCGAATATTTTAAACTACTAAAACATTAAAATGAACACAATTCAAAGCACAGAGAAGGCTAATCCGATCTCACCACGAATTCGCTACAATAAATAGCAGCATTAAGTCAGCAACTGAACTGAGATGTTTCTGTCCGGCTTTTATAGCTTTTTAAATCGGTCGAGCAAAACGATTCTCTGAATTTCTGGAAAGCAAAAGAGTAGAATTACGAGATATCTACTTATTAAATATTAAATGCGCGTGTTCCTGTATTTTTACTTTTCCGGCGTGGCTTTCTCTTAAAATAAGTCTCGTGCTGCATTGCACAGGGATATAAAACAATTTTAATTATAATTCTACTAAAACTTGCTAACTTAATACAAAAACCGTAATAGCATGTAGAAATTGTAAAAATGTGTTGCTGAATACAGTGTTAATTTAGTCATATAAAAAGTCATTTTCCGAAGAATTCTTAACAATGTATTAAAAACAGGTGTTATTTTATATAATAAATGGGATAAAAAATAAATTTTTAACACTTTATAACATCAGATAGCACACTTTAGTTCTTTACTTTTTCGGTATTTTGCGCTAATTCAACACAGTTTTATTTCTGAATTGAAATAGGTTCATGTATCATCATTATGGCTGCACTGTGCCCCCTACAATTTTATACTGCTTATATATTTTAGAAAATGGCGATAAATGGCAGATCCAAGAGATGCATATTAGCAAACAGCAACAAAGTAGAGGAAATAGGGCTGAGCAATAGAAACAGCGGCATTCATAGTAAAAGGTTTCTTTAATCTGATGGGATGAGAGCCATCTACATTGAGCCATTAAACAAGAAAGATGCAGTCCTGAAAAATTATTATAAATAATTTAGAACAGAAAGCCAAGAAGGGAAGACATCCAAGTTAAAATGAGGAATTAAAAAGACTATTGCTAAATTAAAATTAGTAGTTTTCTTTAATACTTTATATCTTGGACAAAGAGAAAATATGACAGATATTTAATTTTATGAGTTGGTAGAAGTAGCTATTATTTTCATACTTTTCTGTAAATTAAACACTTTATATATCTTAATTTTCAAACATTTTAATTGTAAATTTCCTGGTAAAGTTTTCAATTAGCATTTATTAAAATTTCCTTTTAATTAATTATTTAATTTTGATATAATACTGCAATTTTTAATCAATTTTAATATGCTACGAAATTATACTATATCAGTATGATACAGCATTTTTTTTTAAATCAGTTTTAATATAATATGAAAATTATACTATACCAGTATGATATAGCATTTTTTTAAATAAATTTTGATAGAGTATGAAACTTAACTACATTTTATTTACAAAAGAATTGCACTGAATTTAGGAAACTGCAATAGGATTCAGGTACAGCATAAAAGGATATACCCATTCAGAGTTTAATATGATAAATCGAGGTTAACCTCAAAATATTTCAATTAAAATATACATATTTTCAGGAATTGTGACAATTGATAAATAAATACCTTATGTGACGTTCGAGTCTTACAAAGAATATTCTCCGGCTTTAGGTCGAGATGGATAATATTGTGCTTGTGCATGTAAGCCACTCCACAGCATATCTGCTTCATAAAAAGGATACAGTCATGTTCCGTTAACACGAAATCGTCTGCGATCACCCTCTCGAAAAGTTCTCCGCCAGATATGCTGTAATGAAAAGAGTCAAAATATTTGAATTAATGCAAAATATTTTTGAACTCTCTTCAACAATATTATTGATTTTTTTCCCTCAAATATAATATTTTTTTTGAAATAACACTTTACCTAATATATATGTATCACAAAGGTAAAATTATATTGGTTTCATACTCAAGTGAATTTTAATGATATAATTGTTATCACAGAACCACCCACAACAGTGGAAATTCAACCTAGTCAGAAAGTGCGAAGTTACATACCAAAATACAACATTCAGATTTATAGTATTCTGATCTAATAAGAATATTACTTAATATGCATGCGCCAGAAATGTAAAACATTACCAACGCTCAATCTAATATGATTTTTATCCTTCATTTGAATCTAAAAGTTTTTACCACGATAGACACGTGGGTAAAAACTTATAAAGATATGTTGTGGATTCGATACCAAATGCATTAACAGTAGAACAACATTTTGGTTTGGTTTATGTGATTACCGCAAAGAATCAAGGGCTGTCTGCCTAAGGGGAGGACTTTCGTTTTGCTTCGTGGAAGACTTTCTAAGGAAAACTGGCTTGCATACACGTTACACACGAGGAAAACCACGAAACGCACATGCAGCCAGCCCGTTCGCGGGATTCGAACCTCGGCCCAAAATACCAGTTTTCAGCGACTTTACCGCTCGACCACTGGTGGGCCTCCAGTGGAACAATAATTCATTAGATTGCGTGGTTTAGGGAGGATTTGAAGTTGAAACACACTATCACATGAATGATATCTGAAAATTTTACAGAGATCAAAGTTCAAATTTTAAAGAGATCTAGTTTTATACTCTGAGAAGATACTGTTCGGTTTCAAATAAAAAAAAAAAAGAGTTTCGGTTCAACACCATATTATTCTTCTGACTGAGGATGCTTCTAAACAGAAATATCATTAATTTAAAATTTAAGTATTTTGCTTGTTATGGTATTACACATTATGCGGCAAAACTATGACGGATGGGCTTCATCTGACCAGGAAGATCTTCAAATAATTTTAAATTAAATTTTGTGCCAGTGCCCATTATATATATTTTTGACGGCGAATCTAGTTTGCATTTGGAAAGGCTTAAGGCTATGCATTTCATTTACCTTCACATCTTTAGGCATTTCATATTAAAAGCATTAAAATCACCAGTGATCCGCATCACAATGTTTCATTCTATCAGGCTTATACGAGGTAGAATAGCCTTCGCCGGTACCCGACAGGCAACTGAAGCAATTTCAATCCTTGCAGTCTTAGATAATCAGTTGCCTAGATATCAAGCTTTAAGACATAACCCTTAAATGATAGTAAGAAGTTAAGATTTTAGACGCATGTAATTTTCTATGCAAAAAAACGTGATCACAACCTTAAGCATCTGTCCACTACCAAGTTATTTTGAATGTGATGAAGAATTTAGTTTATTTAATTAACTGCTTCTAACGTCGATAAAATATAACGTCCAAAATATTTCAGTTATGGGCTAAATTCTGTACATAGTTCTGAGGAATTGCTAGATATATGGAATGAAATTAACTGAGAAGAATACTGCCAGAAAGTTCATAAAATGTTGGCTTAAAATCTAAAAATTTCGAAGCTCCACCAAAAACAAAATTTCGTCGAAGGCATTATATTCTAAGATGGCAAGGAATGAAGTCAAAATTATTAATTATATTTCATGCTTTTTGTTGTATTAGCAAAGCTTTAAATCTAATCCAAAAATTGAAGAAATCTTTCGGTTGATTTCAGTGAGAGAAAACCTGAAAGGATGATGCAAATACAAAAAAATATCCACAGCGGTAACATCTTTTTATAAGGTATTTCTCCCGTTCTCTTAGCGAGCCTTATAGTGGTCTGCACGCTCAGCGCGTAATTGAGAGGTCGGCGGTTCGATTCCCGGCGAAGGCGTTGCATATTTTTCATTTTTCCTGCTTCTGTCTCTACAACTTTATCGTAAATAAGTTGCGAATTCCTTAATGAAGAAAAATACCTCTAAGTTATTTTAACATGACAAGTTCAAATGCACTGAAGAAATAACTATAGATTGCTCAAAAATTCAAATGATGGATCTTCTTGTCCTGTGTTGGATCTTCAGACTTAAGTAATGAATTTTTAATTAAGCATAGAGAATAGTTTACAAGCAATCCTGCCAATTTTAGTACAATTAGAACCTGAAAGAGGATGGCAATTAAAATATTGGATTACTTTTAGAGGAAGAAATATCCATACTATGCTATAAGAGAAAACGTTTTAAAGCTTTTTATTAATAATAAAACTCTTACAATATCTACGGAAACCAATAGAGATGTCTGGTATGCGAGCTTGAAGTATTATACAACTAATGAACTGTTCACCCTTGAATGTGTCAACATTCATTTCAGTTGAATATCATTTGAATCCTCAATACTTGACAATATTTACAACTTTAGCTCATAAAGTGCTTTTCTTCTATTTCTCTTCAGTATATGAATATGCCATTTAAATGCTCATTGCATAGCATGTTTTCGTTTACTGCACTTGCACTAATTTGCAACCCAAAGTAGGAAAACCGTATACTTTTCGATAAGAAATGCCTTTTTTTAAAATCAATTCATTAAAAACTTTAAAATTTTCATGTTCTTAAAAATAAAACTTCCATTGCTTCTGCTGTTATGTCATTCGTTTCAAAATCAGGTTGGTAACTTACAAATTATACAAATAATTGGAATCAAAATTCACGGCTTAGATACGTCATATTACATTTCCTTTCTTTTTTCATTGTCTAGTACAGGAAAACTTCGCATATTCCGACTTTAATAAGTCTGTATTCACTACAGTCCGGTTTTAAAAAGTCCGGTACATAAAATTAACAGCTGAACAACTACCAGAACACTTAAAATACACCGGTTATCAAAAAGTAAGGAAAAATCAGAAAAATCACGATTATTGAAAAAGTTAAATGTAGAATTTTATGAAACTTACCCACAATATACAACACACAGTAAGGTATCAAATAACAAAAAAAAAAATTACCAGACAATTATTTTAGTAGCACCGTATAAAATGAACAAATCGAAGATGTCAGTTGCTTATAGTAAAAAGTACCTTCAATGGAATAATCGCCTCTAGAAGTAATACAGCACATTCAGCGATGTGTGATGCTACCATTATGAGGTCCTATTCCATAGGAAGCGAGAGCCATCGCTCTTGCAAAGCAGTTGCAAGCGCGGCAAGGGTCTAAAGGCCCATCCACACGAATACGCTTGAAACGTAGCTGACGAACGCGCTTTTACGTTACCAGCGTAAAAGCGTCCAAACGAGTACGCTTGCGAAGAGTACGTTTAACCAATGGAATTATTTTGCGCAAAAATCACGTGACGCTGTAATTTAGCGTCAACAGAGCTGTATCTTATTACTTCGCTGTGCTTCTGTATGTTTGCGGCAAGTTGTCCGAATCAGATGATTTTTTTATAGCTGAAACTTTACTATTAAGTGCAGTTATTAAGCAGAGGCAAAACCGCAAGAAATGGCAAGATGGTCCGAAAGATTTATTAGAGCGACCTGTTCAAAGAGATTTTTTTTACACTCGTTTGCGAAATGAATATCCGGAATTATTAAATTCATACTATTAGCTCACACTCTCCCTATATCTTGTTCAAATTTTCAGTACATAAACCTTTTAGTCATCCACTCAAGTTCAAATACAATTTTTTAAACTTAGTTAAGACACTTGATGCTTTTTCACATATTAAAATTTTTAATTTTTAAAATTCTGTTTGTTTTTATTTATTGTATTTTTTTAATTTTTCTTTGTGGGCCTAAGTAGAATTGACTTTTTTTTTTTTTTTTTTTTTTTTTTTTTTTTTTATATTCTTGTTTTTTAATTACTTCAGGATGAGTTCGACCAGTTTGACAGACTTGCAGATTCTATATTGTATGAAAATTAGGATTTATAAAATTGGTTTGGAATACAGTATATAAAGAGAATAAATTACTTAATCTTCTTTATATACACCATCCACCATATAATAAACCAACTTCATATTCTTTTATTTATTTTTGAATTAGAATGAGGTTCAACTTTGGACAGTTTATGAGATTATGTGCGTATAAATTGCAATAAAGTAAGAATAAAGAGAGAATTATAGATGATATATGATAAAGAGATGCCTATATATTACATAAGGATTCCTATTTGCAATGCACATTTTAAACTAAATTAAAACAATAATAATAATGAATAAAATAAGAAAAAAACAATAATAATAGGTAAAATAAGATATAAGATTCAATGATTAAATATAAGAAACACGTTTCAAAATGAGAAAAGCTAACTGAATTATACTGCCTCTGATTAGGTTGAACTCCCCACCTTCATTTGCAAGCACGGCTGACCACTCAGTTATCTGTGGATAAGTGTTTGTTAAAAATATAACAAGTAGAAGTCGCTGGAAAGGTAATTTAATTAAACTGAATAAAATAATTGCTGATGACACAAGTTGTAACTTTCCTCCAAAATTTCGTATTATATTTTTTATGAATACTCTTTCAACAGTCAACTGCTTTATTTTAGAAGTTTCTATATTGCTGAAGTTAGTTTTTGGTGTATTTAATATTGGGATATTTATAGAGCTTTTTATTACACATGATGTAGCCAATATTTATAATAATTAAGGAGAATTTTGTAAGGCAGAAACTTTGATTTCGTAGAAACTGTAATTTATTTAGGTCCCCTATTACTTACGGTGTTATAAAAGGTGAAGCATATGGATATACTGGCGGATCATTGCTTTATAAATATACAGTTTCCCCTTTAATGAGAATTTTAAATTTATACCAATATATACGGTTTGAGGAATCTGAAGATGGCATGAACAACGCTGATTATTTTATTGCTGTATACAGTTATGAAATTTCTAAGCAAAAAACTCATCTCTGTGGGGTTCTGACGCCATATTTAAACGGGTAAACAAGAAGGTTTTCTGATTATGACATGTGATAAGAACTCGGTCGGCTATTGACTATTCGCGCACGGCGCGGGTGGAAAAGCTGAACAGGAGCGAACTCAGTTTTACGTCTTCTATGTCACGCGAATTTACGCCTGCGGCAACTACGTCGCGAGCGTACTCGTGTGGACGGGCCTTTAAGGGCGGATTGAGAGAAGCTATACGTCTTCCTAAAGCCTCCCAAACGCTCGATAAATTCAATTCGGGGATCGAGCTGGCCACTCCATGCCATAATTGTTTCCTGTTGAAGATAATCATATACGATGCGGCCCTGGTGGTCTTGCATGTCGTTCGTAAAGGAAAGCATCACCTATTGCCCCCGCATATGTGGTGCACATAAGATCAGGATGTCATTCTATACAAGACAACCCAACACAGACACTGCCCTCTTCGATGCATCTCTTTCACACGGATGTTTGACGGATATACGGGTTACAGGTTCTCTCCATATCAAATAACGCCTATTATCGCTTATAACAACCTAGACTGACCCGAAGAGAATAGCCCACCATTGCTCAGGCGTCCAGTGGACATGTTTGTGTCACTGGAAAACGGTCCCTCCTATGGCGTGACTTAAGCGGCACACAATTGGTTGTTCGCTCGCATATAGACCACCTTCGTGAAGCCTCTTACGCACATTGACGCTGACACCACCTCCCGGTGCCTGCAGCAAGGGAGGATCTAAGAAGAGTCGATAGTGGTTCTATCCTGAGTGCACATAATGTCGATACGGTCATCGGCTCTCGTCGTAGGCAGTCCGGGCTTGGCTGAACATCTAGGTGCCGAAATCTGTGATTTGAAATAGCCTCCAAGTCTATGAACCACAGAAGAACTCAATTTAGCCATCTGGCCACTTCTGTTTGACTTCGTCTGCCTCTAGTCTCCCAATGGCTCATCGTAGTTCTGCAGGCAAATGACGCCTGAGGTCATTGTACGAATGGCTATCTCGGATTTCTGATGTCATTATCACAGTGAAATATGCGGGCTTGCTCTTAAACATGAACTTTTTATGCTCCCCGCAGATGATGTATTCCGAGTGCAGCGCCACTAATTTGCATATTGGAGTTTTACTCAGCTACTCTTACTTGGCAACATATTCAAATTTTACACGGTTTGGCTTATTTTTGAGGGAGTTTTCGCTATTTTTGTGATTTTTCCTTAATTTATGATAACCAGTGTAGTTGAAATCTTGCCAGACCGTATATGAAAGTTGATCCCAATACTGAAAGAAGCCTCACAATTCGCGGAATAAAAACATTGCAATTCGTTGCTGCAGAGAAATGTCTGAAGAGAAAAGGCTAATGAAGAAAAATATGCAGATAACAGGTACTGTAATTTTTAAAAAATAAAAATGAATTTTGGAAAATACATTTTTTAATATTATTTTTAATTAATTTTAATTTACTGATCCCGCTTTATTTATTGAGAAAAAAGGAGAAGAAAATGAAACCAGTCATCTATCATATTTTGTATTAGTTTCTCGATCAGTTCGATTTCAAACAGTCCGGGATTAAAGCGAGTACCCAGAAAATGTGAGGTATTGCTGTATAAATAATAGCACAATAAGCAGATGGCAAACTTACTATTCCATAACCATAATCATATTCCGCCCACTCTCGAATGCCGCGAGGACTTGCATGAGCTTCGGATGGTGCAGCCGGCTCATGATCTCTATCTCTTGTCTCACCTTCTCTTTGTCTTTCATCTTCACGCACCGGATGATCTTGGCAGCACGGGGTCTACCACAGGACTTGTCCACACACCGGTAAACTGTGCCGAACCTGCCTCTATTCATAGGATATATATATGCGAATTATTTTGAGCATTTACTCAATATCATTATACATCATTCCCCAATATATTTTCATCATTTTGCAGAATATATAAAATCTTTATTAACGTATATATTTTAAAACAAGCGAATGACAGACATATTTATAATTAAAAATGAAAACTAGCTCGTAAAAATGCTCAACATGAAAAAATTATTTTATTCGCTTGGCTTTTATTGAAAATTTATTTTCTTATGCTCGATAATTCTTATACTTCTTCCTATGCGATGAGATCTTAAAAATAATTTTAGTTAAGGTGCTTTTATTCGAAAATAATTTAATTATTCAATCAAATTTTAATAGAATTACAGTCATTGGCAATGTCCTTTTTTCAAATAATGAAATCAGTGTTTATTAATAATTAGGCTAAGACAAACCTCTTCACTGGAAAATCGAGAAGTTAATTTAAGTGGAATTCGACCTTAATATACTGCTACAGAACCAACTGATTTCTCACGTTTGCTAAAAATAAATATCATTATGAATGTAGAAAGCTACGATATAAAATGCCATCAAAGAGGTCCAGAGCAGGGACAATTATTCAACCTGACGAGCATAATTGTCCTGAAAGTTAGAAACAGTTCACTGTCATCTAAAGGAAGATTTTGATATTTGCAGCGATTGTATTGAAAAGTTATGGATAACTAAGCTATTAAATTGAAAAAAAATATATTCTACCGATTATCTAAATTATTTCTTTGAAACTATGTAATTTTCTGAATCGTTGCATGTCTCACTTTAGTTTTAAAAATATTTCTTCACAGAATATAATGAAATATATCAGCATTGCGTTATAATATTTTATGTATTTAGACATTACTAAATATTTAAGATTAAAATTTTTAAGGGCATTTAAAATTTTAGGACAGAAATTTTTAAGGACGTTTTATTTATCCATTTAAACAATGTCTAATGATGTTAGGGAAACATCAGGATGGTACCCTATTGTACCCAGTGTTTGAAAAAATTTGCTCAACAGTTCAACAATTAAACGTAGACGCAGGTTTAAGGCAGGCAGACCTTAAGGTATAAAGCAAAGTACATGACAGTTAGCCTTCTATAGAAAACGTTCGTTTATAATCCTAATCCAAAATATATTTTTAAAAATAACCTAACTGAATATGCCAAATTGGCTTAAAATTGTCAAAATTACTTGGCTAAACCCGTCTACATTAGAAGAAACAAACATAGGAAAAAATGCATTACTAGAATTAAATAAAAATATATTAAAGGAAACTAATATCCTTTTTCTAAACAATAATTTATAGTGCAAATGAAAAAAATTAGTATTACATTTTACATATAAAATTATTTTATTCATTCATTTCACTGAGGTTTTCGATTCTGAAGAAAATCCGTAATTTTTGCATTACATTGCCCTCTCCTACGACTATTTTAGTAATTTTAGCACCTCTCGATTTCATAAACAAGCTCTCAGTTTAGCGAAATTTATCGCCAGTTCTGAGCAATTAATTGCATCTGGAATGTATGATATTTGATAACGAAATAAAGCAGATGAGTACAATACAACATTATAACTGAAAACGAATAAAAAAAGATGCAATCTATAACGTTTTGCCAAATCTTATTCCTTTGAATATGAATATTTTAAATGTTCACATCCATTAAGCCAAAAAAAAAAAAAACTCATTCTTATATCAAACAGAAATAGAAAGAGATAGGATAACGGTGTTACGACAAGTGTAGGCGTAGAAGAAACCTACAGCTCTAGGAAAAGAGACTTCAACTGTGCCGTCTGATCAAATAACGCCACTTCTGAGCTTATGACCAACCTGCAGACTCATTTCTCTAACAAGGAACTTTGTATTTTTTTTTTTTTTTTTGTTTTGTTTTTTGTCTCCTAATGTCACCATATGAAGTATGTATACATAACTCTTCAGGAGTGCCTTGTCATCCTGTATAGACATTGTTTTGAACTCTTAATTCAGAAGATTAATCTTAATTGTTCATCATATAACAATAAATGATTAGCCAAAATAATTCGACTCGTAATTACAAAATGTATTTCTGATGGCTTAATTTTACATTATGAAGTAAATTCTAAACTAGCCCCTTCTTAAAGTGTATTCAGGTTTATCTTTGATCCATAAATCCATGTTACATGTAACCTGGTGAATATTTTCGCGAGTAAGATCAGGTTTTAGAAAACTTCCTATTGTAGTAATAGCTGCATAAATAATTTACATTCCCTAAGTCTTCAGATGGATTCATATCCATACAAAAACAGATAATTCACTACTAATATTCTAGAATTAACCCTCTGCACTCGAACAGTGTTGCTACATAATAATAAAATACATGCTTAATAACAGCTGATAATAGTATACATCACATTAATGATACCATAATGATTGATATTTTTTTCCAATGGCAGATTGTGAACAATTACAAATGTAACTAAGTCCATTAATCTATACAAGGCCGGATATGGTGGTCTCTTTATTATGGAGGCACCTAATAAGTGGCCCACTATCGCCTTTCCTATGAAGGGACGGACAGTTACAACCATGCCTTCTCTGGGATTCGAACCCAGGCCCTTCGGCATCGCAGTCAGCTTCCTTGACCACTATACCGACTGGGCGGCATAAGGATTGATATTAGCCCATACATTTGAGATGTGTTGTTACATTAATCCGAAATGCGAATTATTATTCGGTTTTTGTTTTCACTAACAGAAAATTCGATTTTTAGAAGCTTCCCTAGAAAAATTTTCATTTCTGAGAACAATGTGCTATATCTCACAAAATAATATTACAAAATAGTAATATAAAATATTAATGTTCATTATGTCAAATTTTACTGTTGCACTAATAGCATATGCTAATTGTGTAACTCTTCTTCTATGTTATTCCATATTCCTTTTTTCATATTCATTCTCTACATCTATCTCTGATGACATTTCCAGAATTCAAACACCAGGCTGAAGTTGCCATATTTGTTTGCCCACCGCTTGACTAACTCTACCTGTTGTTTGACCATTTCGACGTTCCTTATCTTTTACAATTTCGTATATCTGTTTTATAAGAATAAATTATATCCTGTATTAGAAACATTCTTCTTAATTTTCTCCATGTATTTATTTTATAGTTCATCAGTGAAAAACTCTTAAGTCACCAGTGAATTTTGCTAATCATAACCTTATTATGGCATTCAGATGAATAAATAAAATAAATTTCAAGATACACACTTAGAGCGAAGATCCAAAATTTATATTTTTAGTTTGTATCTTTAATCCAAATAATAGACCTACTTTAATAATTTTCGTGAGCTGAATCACTGAAAAGAAAAAAATAGCACATCAGACAAGAGCTTGTCTAAGACTTCTTGGGAAATTAAATAAGACAGCAAGCACATTATGAACGTTTCAAGAACTGTAGCTTTAACTACAGAATCAGTAAGGCCATGAACTTAAAGGTACGTCCCTCCCTCCAAAATGTACATGCATGTATGCATACATGTAAGCATACTTTCATACACTTGCATGTATGCAAGTAGGTATGTATGCAAGTACGTATGCATGCATGTATATATGTATGTATGCTTGTATGCATTTATTTATATATTCAATGGCTATGCAATATTCATTCAATTTTTATAACTTTCAAGCAAAAATCTAGGAGAAGCCACTTCGCTGTACTCATGCACGTGACATTTTGATACAGTAGAAAGATACTGAATATAGATACAGATGAACATTATGCACATGTAAAGAGATTCTTTCAATGTAGAATCCAATTTTTCCCATTAATACATTTTAAAAACTGTAAATGCTATACTTCTCCAGCCCAAATTCATTAAAAATAAATACTTTTCAGTATTTGCCTTCACTTTCATTAACTTGGAATAAATTCTAACGTTTGAAAAATGTTATGACTTAACTATCAGTGGAAACTTCATCAAACATATGAAAACTAGTGTAATCTTCTTCAGCTCGAGTAAACAAAAGCAGAGTACATAGCTTACTTTCCAACTTCTTCTTTAAGATCGAAATGTTCTGTGAAGTTTGTGCCGCTCTCAATTTCGACAGTTGTTGGAAAATCTTCCCCTGAAATGAAATACTGAAATCTAAACTTTCCAGAGCAATTTGAACATTAAACAGTATATTTTACTTACAGTACATGCAAAATGTTTGTGTAGTTTATATATACAACACTTTTTATCTCGAATATAGCATAAAGAATTCACCTGGTTTCTGAAGTATTTAAAAACTAATTGCTAAACTTCTAAAGCAGAGCAGTAGGATACTAATCTACCTAAGCTATTTGAATTATGATGAACAGCAAAAATTGTATTTTAAAACCGTTTCGAATATTTTGTTTCAAATTATAGAGCCATTGAGAAATTGAAGATGTCGCTTCTCTTTGAAAAGCTGAAATTCCTTCAATTCTCTTTTCTTTCCTTTCAGGTTTAACAGACTGGAAATAATAAGTGGAATTAGACTAAGCTCTGAACTCACTTGATTAAAGTTAAATTTGAAGCAGATTTAACTGTTCAGAAAGAAATGTCTCGGAAGATCGCAGACATCAACGAGCCCTACAAGGCAAAAAAAAAAAAAAAAAAAAAAAAAAAAATGATAGAAGCGTTCTCGTAAGAGTTGAAGAAACTCTATAAGCCACATGAGACGATAGCTAAGAATTTCAAAACCACGTGTCCATCACATTTTAAAGCGCTGTTAATATGTAAAATGCTAAACTCCAAGAATAATCCATGCTCTTGGTGAAGGCAATCGTGACCTAAGCATGCAGAGCTGAGAATAAATGTTTATTTAGGTATCATACAAGAAGATACAATTCAACATAAAAAGTTTGGCGCAATAAAACAACTGATGGCACTTATAGCCTATTAAGATTATCTGCAACATACGGCGCAGTTCCCTAACTGCCCTGTAACTAGACACTCGACTGCACTCTGTAAAAGGAAAACTACAAGACTAACTGTATCCTGATGTATATATGAGTAGCTCATTGAATCCACCAGTCAGTATTGGTTAATATCACGGACCTGGAGATGAGATATACATGATTTACATATAACCTTAAATCATGAAATCATACTATTTGCATAGAAAATACTGACTATACTATTACATTCACAACAAGAATGTTTGGAGAGATGTGGCTATAAAATATTATATTAACTGTTAAGAATTGCAAGATATCTTGGTTAAAAAAAAAAACACTAATTCAAATTATACATAACATAAATGAACATTAAGAATCAGATTTCTAAACTGCCAAGTTTATTCACGTCTAACACACATTCAACTGGCGGTGCCAGATCCAAGAAGTATATATACATCATGAAAGATTTATGCCCTCTTTGGCGATTAAAATATATTTCCACATAAAATTTCTTACATACTGTGCCCGGCTGAACTGTAGTTCAGAACAATCAAGATTATCAGTGTTACATGAACATTTTCAAGAATTATTTTCAAGAAACATTATGCATTTCAATACAAATTCAAGTTTTGTAATAAAGAAAAGTCACATAAATATCAAGAACATGTAAAACTTACCATATGTTTCAAGAATATCAAGTAAATTTTCAAGTAAATTTCATCAAGAATTATTGTCATAACATTCCTGTTCAAGCATCAGGATTTAAATCAAGAACTTATATAACTCAAGATAATATTAAACAAATTATTTCAAAATCAAAATTATCATAATTCAACTAAAATACTAGAATTATTACAAGAAACCTGTTTTTTTTTTTTTTTTTTTTTTTTTTTCCAGAATTAAATTAAACGTTAAAATTTTTTAATACATACATTTCTTTAAATATTAAATATGCAGTACTTTAATTATCAATTAAATAAAATAGATACAACATTAGTAGCATTTAGATTACAATTTCAGTAAGAAATATACTATCATACAATATTAATACTCTTAGCACTCTAACTCTAGATGGAGGTAATGGTGCTATGACTTGTCGCATTGGTCAGGAATTATAACGCTGAATTATAACGCATTGGTCAGGAATTATACACAGTTTCTTATAACACGTTTCACATTTTGTCTGGATCTAATTATCCAGTACTTTTCACGGAGGAACATGAGAGTACTAGCTACACCTGTATGAAGAACTCGTTCATGTGCATCACGTACTAGAAGATCTGTAAAATGAGTTTTTGAAGGAATAATTAGAGGATGCTTTTCAAGAAAACTTAAAGTTGATTTTTGTAGTCTTCCTCCTACTAACAAAACTCTTTCCTCGTTTAGAAAAGGATTTAGTTCATAAATGTTTGAGCTTTTTGAAATCAACTGTCCAGACTTTAAACTATTAATTTCATCAGAAAAATGTTCATATTGAACTTCTTTTATCAAATATAATTCTGCGGCAAAAAGTTCTTCTGCTATCAAGGGTCCGGTTTTCTTGCCAGTTTTATTTTCAGATTGTGAATAAACCTAAATATCCATGCAGTTACTCTAATAGCTCTAATTAATTTACTATAATTTCCAAGATTCAACAGAGAATTAGATTTTTCTGCAATAGATGGTAGTATTGTGGTATCATTTATACACTTTTCCCGCTCTAATTCAGCATTAGAAAACTCCGTTGTCACGATAAATTTACTAGGCCAAGCACTCACTGATTCAACTAACCAGTCTGGCCCAGACTGCCATAATCTTGAAGACAACAAATATTCGGCTGAACATCCTAGAGATAAAATGTCCGCTGGATTGGACTTCCCATTACAATGTCTCCAGTTATTTGGGCAAGTTAAAGATTGTATTTCAGATACTCGATTTTTTACAAACATTTTCCATCGTTCAGGAGCACTATGAATCCAGTGAACCACTAACCATACTGTCAGTCCACAGATAAATATTTTCTTCATGAATTGAAAACAGCTCTTTTAAATTTTTAACAAGTCTTGCCGATGTTAATGCTCCTAGCAACTCTAACCTTGGAAGAGTGTGTTTTTGTTTTTGTTTTATTGGTGCAATTCTAGATTTTGCCATAATGAATGCTACCTGTCCTTCTTCAACTGATCTAAAATATGCAACTGAACCATACGCTTTAATAGATGCATCACAAAATAAATGAAGTTCGATATCTTATTATTTTGATTCAATTTGCCGGGGAAATATTCTCGAGAAATTTCAAATTTCTTTAACTTTTCAATTTCACCGCTCCACTCGGACCACAACTGCTTACATTCAGTTGGAACTTCGTCGTCAAATTCTAAACCCAACTGCCAAAGGTCTTGCATTATCAATTTTGCACGTAATACAAATGGCGCCAAGAAACCTACTGGATCGAGAATAGTAGCAGTCACCTTTAATATATTTCCTTTTGTGGTTTTTCGACAACTATTTAATGTTTCGCATAAGTTGTCTATGTTCAAGGAAGTTACATCTTTACTCGTACACCAGTTAAGCCCTAATACTTTTAAAGAACTATTTAGTTCATTTTCTGATTTAATTATTCCACAATCATCGCAAAGTTTCTTTAGTTTCTCGGAATTTGTATTAAAGTGACGCAAATTCATTCCGGCATCTTTAAGCACGCTGAGGCTCCAGTACTTAACTTAAAAGCCTGTTCCACAGAATCTGCACCATAGAAAACATCTACGTAGATCGAACAGTTCAACATCTCAAAAATATCTGGATTTTCTAACTCTATTTTCTTTACATGTTTTTTATAGTGCACGCCAGAATGAAAGGGCTACATGACACACTGAAAGGAACGCGAGTCATTCTATAATGTTTCAAATTGTAATTATTATCAAAGTATAAAAACCGTAATACATCTCTATCAATTTCAGAGATTCCAATCTGGAGAAAGGATTTTTCAATGTCTGCTGAGAACGTATGTTTGTATTGTCTGAACCGCAATATCAAGTCCAAAACATAAGGATTCAAATTTGGGCCAGGCATAAAACAATTGTTCAGAAATACCCCATTACACTTCGAATATGCTTCAAACACGATACGGACTTTAATTTTTGATACATTTTTTCTTACAACTGGAGAATGTGGCATGTAATACATTTTACTACTATCACAACTTTCAATTTCGCACTTTTGAATTATTTCTTTTTTTAACTGTTCGTTTAGTCACAGTCGCTGTCATTTTTTAACTGTTCATTAGTAAAATGCAATTCTTTTTCAAATTTCTCAATGACTGATTTATCGTCAGGATTCTCGTTCTCCTCTAAACCCAAATGGTCCATAGTCCGAAACCTTCGCAAACAGTCATTAACTGAATTATTATCTTCCTTCAAGCAATGAGAAGCACCAGCTGTAAAAATACAGGCACTAGACTGATCACCTTCTAAAGATCCAACTAAGGACCAACCAAATATAGAAGACACCGCAAATAATTTATTAGTTACTCTTTTCTTTTCGCCTGTTTGCACTTCCCAACATGAATCAGATCCTAACAATATTTTTATTTCAGCTGCTTCACCATTATCGGCTAATTTTAGATTTTCTGATTTATATATTTCTAAAATGTTTTTGGAGGGAATTTTTATGATCGCTCCAGAAACTGTATCTGTAACAAGAGTTTCAATAGTGATTGAGTCATTAGAGCAATGTATACTTTTCAAGGTAACTTGAACAACATTATATTCTATTAGTCTACATTGGTTATACCCAAATGAATAAATATATAACCTTTCTTTCCTTAAAGTCCTTAATTTTAGTTCTTTAGCCAAATCAGTTCTAATAAATGACCACTGTGATCCACCATCAATTAAGATTTTTACTATTTGGCTTCTAGTATTATCTGTATCTGAAGGGTAAACAGTGCAAGTTTGTAAATATACACCTTTATCAGCAGTTTCAGAAACAGTCTTAGAGTTAAACGACAGGGATGCAACTACATTCTGCTTAGAATCTGATACTGTAACTACTTTCTGTTTAATATCTTGAAACTGCTTTCCACTTCAGGAACAATATTTTTACAAAATAAGCTTATTATGATTTAAACCATTACACAACTCACAAGGTTGAAGTTTCATTTTACATCTGGAAGAATACATGGTCCTCTTCTTAAAACATCTGTAACAACGTCCATGGTATTTTTAATATCGCTCTTTTTTGCTCATTAGTTTTTCTCACATTTTCCTG